CATAAGAAATGGTTTATTTAAGCTCTCTGTTCTTTATATTGTTTCGTAAAACTAATAACGATGAAAGATATTAATGTATTTTATAACACCCATTTGCTTCTTTAAGAAGTAGCTTTAAATTGTTTTTACCCCTTTTGAAGATAATTTGGCATTTTACTAGATTAGTTCCATATTCTGGGGAAAAAAAAGACATTTAAATTATTGTGAATCATTCCTCCTACTAAATTCCATTACGGAGCTCTAAAAATGTCAATAGCCAAGACAGTTTGAGCATTACATCTGGGAATTACCCCCATATACCTCGTGATAACATACTCAATGCGCAGGAAGGAGCACAATGTCATAATCCACACATATCAGTCTTTTGGTTAGAAATCTTGTTAACACTACCTTCCCCAAGAATCATTTCAGGCAGATAAAATGAAATGACTACATTTAATTTTTTTTTTTTTTTAATCTCTTTCCAAAGCTGTATAGAAATAGAATTCACTTTGAGGAGCCATCACAGACTTGAGTCTGTTGAATGTGCATAAAGACTGGTTCAAGTTTTTGCAAACTTCATAACTTTGGCACGCGCTTTCCCCCAAAGAACCAAGTGTCTGTAAAAACAGTTTTAACTGTTTCTGTTGCACTTGGAGAAGGAAAGGAATATGTATTACGTCAGCAGTGGTGTTGAGCATTTTCACAGTTTAACTTACGTGATTTAACTACAGGGAGGAGAACTGTAGTGCATTGAATTCCATACACTGTCAGTTGGAAGAAGCTTTGTTATTTTATGTACTACTAAGAAAGAAAAACACTGCCAATTAAATTATGACACACCATTGATTTTAGGACAGGCCTTGATTTCAGAGATGTTAAAATGTGAAAAAGAGTACATCTTAGAACTGCTAAACCATAACATTTAAACAGCGTTGGTGATTTACTCTATATGTCATGAAATAATAATCAGCCCTGGAGCATACAAAATGCTAGCCTTGAATTTGATCTTCCTTTGGAGAGTATCCTCTGTCTGTTCCAGGATTCAAAGCTAGGTAGGTTTGGGAATAACCCAAATGTAAGCCAAGTACTTCCTATGGTAACTTTCTATGGAATCTCCTAGATTGAATTGCCAAATAAAATACAGGAACTGCAGCTAAGTTTGAATTTCAGGTAAACGTGATTTTTTTTTTTTTTTTTAGTATAAGTATATCCCTAATACTACATGAAATATTCTAAAACAAATTAACTGAGTGTCTTGTATTTTTATTTGCTAAATTCTGCAACCATGCTGCCAGGGTCATTCCGACCGTATTTGACCTTACCGCATGCTTTCACTCTGGGACATTAACCTCTACCTGGGAAGAACTTCCATTCATACCTTATTCACTCCTTACTACAACCCTGAGAGGGATCATTACAGGTTATTTTAGAACTACAAGAGCTAAATTTTCTCCTCAGACTTGAATGTCTCATTAGATTAGTTGGTTTGTAATGCTTTCACAGGGTAGTTAAGTTCCAAAAGATACAGGTCATTGGGGAACCATGAAAAGAGTAAAGGCACTTTTACCCCTGGAAACAACCTCTGGGGATTGGTCAGTGTTCACTGTCAAGGGGACAGTGTATCTATTATCATTATCATCATCATCATCATAGGAGTAGTAGCAACAGCAGCAGCAGCAAACAAACACTAAGCACCACTTACTACATGCCAGGCACATCACTACTCACTTCTCTTTTTACAGAGGGGGAAAGTGAAGCACAAAGAATTTAGGGCTCTCGCCCTTCTCACTGTTAAAGTCCGGCCCCTAACTTCATATTCTTAGCCCTTGCTGGATGCTCCTTAGGTAATCCCCTCTCCCTCATCGGTCATTATTATTACACTATTTCTCTGTGAAACTAAGTTGGCTCTCAAAAGCCTTTGAAACTAGGTTAGCCCCTCCCAGCATCTTTTCCTTTGGGAATGCCCATCTTACTCATAATTATCCAATAGGCATCTACCTTTCTTACCTGGGTGCCCCATAAGGACACTAAAGGGATCTGTCTGGTTCATTGATATAGGGCCAGAGCTGGCCTCTAGCATTGCAGGGAAAGAAGAAAAATCTTGTATATTAATAAGTAGTCACTGCCTTTCACTATGGACAGCCAAAGGTAATTTAGAAGGTTTATCTGAAGTGAAACTCCAAATTAAAGATTGCCAAGGCAAATAGTGCCTTTTGGGTAATCTGCTGTTTAGGATCATTAGGGCTTTTCCCTGTTAGCCTGGCAAAGGCTTCCAGCCACCAGGTTCTTGGGGTGTCTTAGGAAAGCAGAACTTTACTCCAAACCAAAACATGTTTAATTTCCAAGTCACCCGGGTAGCTCTTCCAGGACACGAGTCTTGCCTGCGAGGGCCTTTCCTGTGTTTCTCATTATTCAAAGGTTCCTGAACTAGATCAGTATCCTAGTGAAGTTGGGACAAGCCCTGTGGCCCACTCCTTTGACAGGGCTCGAATAAAAGAAAGGCAGTTCTAGAACAGAGTTTTCAAAGGCTAGCCTCAGCATTCTTGATAGGGTCGTAAACAATGGGCTTAAAGACAGAGGTATTATCTCTGTATGTGTATGGACTCTATACACATACATACACACATACTTGTTTTTTGTTCCCACTGACCCCAATGCAGTGCTTCTCAACATCTTAGTGCATCTTGGATTTGCCTGGGAAATTTGAAAAAAAATCCCCAAACCAGGGCTGCCCCCAGACCAATGAAATCAGAATCCTTAAGGTGGAGCCAGGCATCAGTAGTTTTTAAAGTTCTCCATGTGATTCCAGTGGCCAGCCAGGGTTGAGTATGGCTGTTCTAAGGAAAACCATAGGCTTCCATCCAGGGCATTTAGGAAAGAAACCTCTAAGTTTTGAAAACTATGTACAACAGAGCTTTTCAACTATGATTAGTTGTTGTTTTATTTATTTCCTATTTCCCATAAACAGCTTCTAAGCGTTGGCACAACGTTGCCATCTGTAAGGCATATGACAATAACAGACGGTCGCCTAATAACCAGAAAGGCATTAACGTTTGTTTGCAGGCTCTAAATTATTTAGATTCATCTGTTATGATCTGCGTTGATGAGGCCACTTAATGCTTGATTTCTGTGTCTTCCAATGGCAGTACAGGAAATGAGAAGGCCATATTTTCTGAGCTTTGCATTGTTCTTTGTCATCCTACTGAATTCTTATAAGATGGATTTATAACAGACCTAAAGCTAGTATCAAAATGAAAATTAGTTGTTGAGTAGAAAAATAGCAATCCCGTTTGACTTGCCTGTAGCAATTGCGCCACATTTGCCTCTGCGAGAAAGGAAATGACTTCTTAATGTGGTTTTCTTCCACAAAGGAGAATTAAATCTATGTGGCAAAATGTAAAACCAGTGTGCTGGCAGCCAGATTATGAAGGGAAGATCCACGATCCTTGTAAACAGATTTGTGGCCTGATTATGTGCTAATGAACCTCCTTTAGGCTCAAACTTTCTGAGTGGACACGTAGCTCAGCCGGAGAGCCAGGCTGTGGCCCGCTCACTGTTTTGCTTTCTGTATCCAAGTTTGCTCCGAAATAATGGGGAAGTTTCTCCGTCTGCTGCAAGCTGCCAGGGTAGGGGACTCTGGGTTAGAGTTAGAATGATTTTGGTCTGAAATAGCAAATTCCACTACTTTAGTTGACAGACTTTTTCCTGAGTCAGCAAGATTCTTTTCAAGGATCTGACTTTTGGGTAAATGTAACTGATAGGGTGGAGCACAGTCTGTGGAACTGCCTACTCTTTAGCTGTACTACAGTTCCTCTAGGATGGACGGAAAGGCAAAAGTTGTTGGGAACAACCCTGCCAATACCACTGGGTGACCCTGACAAGCGACTGAACTTCCTGGGACCTTAATTTCTTCCTCGGTAAGATGGAGCTAACTAGTACCTATCTTGTGTGTGAGTTTTCATAAGGATTAAGTGGAAAAAAAAATGCACAATGAAATACATATCAAAGAAATGGCCCTTTGCACCCTAAACACTAGCCATCATTGGTGTTATTAAATCATTTGCCTCCTCAAATAGCAACACAAAATAGTACACTGTGCATCCTGCGAAGATGTTAAAACTTTAGCATTTTATAATGTACAGAGCCACACAGGAATAACAAATTTATTTAATAAAACTGAACTGCAGTAGATGAAGAGGGAAAATTGAGCTCTTCTAATAGAGAGTTCTAAGAACATCCTCTCTGATAGTAAAATTTTATTTACTACATATGTAAATCTGAAACATACACAAGATGTTTTTAAAATGAATATGGGTATCTGAAGACGATTTTTAAATGATTCCATGAAGACTAATTGTTCATTTTTTATTAAGTTCCTTCCTTCCTTCCTTCCTTCCTTCCCTCCCTCCTTCCTTCCTTCCTTCCTTCCTTCCCTCCCTCCTTCCTTCCTCCCTCCCTCCCTTCTTCCTTGTTTTCTTCCCTCTTTCACTTTTGCCTGCTTGAAGCCTCTAAATGGATTACTCTTATTTCTTAGTGCTCATGACCCTTGTGTTGTCATAAATGTGCTTGGGTTATTTTGGTTCACTGAACCAAACTGTTCAGCGCTTATATAAAAGAGGCTAAGCCAAAGAGAGTGATAAGTAAACCCCAGACCAGCTTGGACGAATGATCATGGGTAGGTGGCATACTTAATACCTTTAGTATCTGGTAAGTAAAATAAATGAATGATGCCAGCCAAAGCAGACGATTAGACAGTGGTAGGGATTATGGTAAATGGCAAGATGCCCCCTGAGTCTCAGCAAACAATTATAAGGCAGTGAACAGACCACAGTGTAGCCTAAGGCTAAAAATGTGGGTTTTTATGTGAAACCTCCTTGTATTCAAATCTTGGCAACTAATGCAATTAAGATACTCATCTCCCAGCCTTTGATTTGTAAATTCTGTTCAGCCACCCCACAACACTTGTTCAAGAAGATTCCAAGGACTTTAATGAGTTTATTCTTTTTTCTTCTCCAAAGCTCCAAAAGCATGACAAAGAGAAAGAGGACTCCCCAACCTTGTGGAGATCAGAAGAAGAAATGGCGGCAGAAGCTGCAGCACTGCGGGTCTACTTTCAGTGACTCAGGTAAAGACTGTACACTTCCTCATCACTGACACCCTCTAGGGGCCTCATAAAAGAGGCTCCCTGCCCAGGAAGAGGATGCAGAAAAGCAGCTGCACCAGCCTTCTAGGCTGGTGGCTGCAAAAGACATAAAAGCCAGAGAAAACTCTGACCCCTGAGGCACTTATTCCAAACTCTTAGTCCCCACCTCCTCCATAACTCTCCTATCTATCTGTTCGCTTCCTTCCAGGCCACCAATCAAATTTTCACAAAGCATCCCAAGATAGTTTGTAACAAACCTGATCATTTAAGAGGTCAAAACCCCTTAATGGAGTCATATCACTCTCAAGTCTCAAATTCCCCCGTCAACCAGCTCTCCCCGCTCCAGACAGGATCAGCCATGCCCAGGCCAGCTGCTATTTGGTAAATTGCCCTTTGTGTTTCTCTTTAGCTTCAGCTGCTAGGAAGCTCAGTCCGCAGGATGAGGTCAGGGTGAGAATGAATGATCACTTTTCATTAATGATGTTTGACAATTGGGAGATCATAGATTTAACATGCTAGTAGAAAATCTATAGTCAATCTCTTTTTTGGAATCTGTAAACACACCAAACTTTTATACAAAGGGCTCGTGGATCTTCTGAAATGTATTAGTAAATAAGGTTGACAGGAAATATTGGCCAAAAAAATTATTTGACGTTAATCTGAAATTCAAATTTAACTGGGCATCCTGTATTCATGGATCTTCTGAAATGTATTAGTAAATAAGCTTGACAGGAAATATTGGCCAAAAACTTATTTGATGTTAATCTGAAATTCAAATTTAACTGAGCATCCTGTATTTTATCTGGCATTTCTGTTACTAAACCTCCTTAGGGATTATGGACCCCAGAAAAAGAGCCTCTCCTCTAAATAATTTCTTTCCTTTTTGGAATTGTCTTCTTCATCTGGTCTGTGTAAATGTGTTTATATTATAAGCTGCCGAAGTAGTTCAGATACTAATTAAAAACATTATTAGTGAATACTAATAGCAATTGAATTACATAAAATTGTAGCAACTACTTAGTGATCATGATTTTCAGCTAGAAAACACATTCATTGTATTTCCTTTTTACTGTGAAATACAAACCCTTTTGAGTTAGTTTAACATATGTACATTTGATGGCCTTTTTCTCCCAACCTCCTTTTTAAAGTATTCTAATTACTTAGAGATCCAGTATCAAGTGTCTCTCCATTATTGTTCATGTAGTTATGCTCAGGCTCTTCCTTACATTCTAGAAAGCTTATTTCGTTCTCTCCTATCATTGGTTTGTGAGCTCTGCATTCAATTGCCTGAAGGAATATAGCGTGGTGTTAGTAGAGGCTCTCTTTTATATTTTATTTTTACCCTGTTCCCCTTCTCATTTCTTTTCTTTTTTTTTTCTTTTTTCTTTTAAGGATCAAGCTAGTTTACCTAAGAACGTAGGCCTAAGGGCATGACTGCAATCCTCTTTCTATTCCTTTTCTGAAAGCTAGGGTGTCATTTTGGAATGTCCCATCCAAATGGGGTCACTATTCTTCAGACTCAACTTCCTAGGCTGATTTTTCTCTTCCTGGGTTTCCAATGTAATGTATACTTTCAGGTAGAGGCAAGAAAGCTCTAGGCTTTTCCTGAGGCTTGCTGATTTGTAGATTCTGTTTTACAATGTACTTTCTAGACATTTTACGAGAGTTTAAACTTACCCAAGTTTCCTGTATGCTGTGCTTTGTCAGTTTTTGCTTCTCTCCTGTCTTGAGGCCTAGCATCTCCTGCCTCAGGTGAATCAACTTGCGTTACAAGTCTTTCCAGAAAGACAGTTACCTTAATCTGTACAAACTACTGGCACGTTGCCTGTGGGTTTTTAAATTAACTGACTTGTTTTTCTCTAAGGGCCTTTGTTTACTGACAAATCATCTTCAGTTTTCTGGGCAGTCAGATGTGGGAACTGAGACCAGGACAGGTCATGTGGGTTTCCCAGGAGTACACAATTAGTAATTGGAGGTGAGGGATTTAAACTTAGGATCCTTAGTTTTTTCCAGGAGCATCATCATTTCCTGTAGTGTAATGGGACCAAATATACCTCTCTTTACAGACAAAGGGGAAAGGAAACATTCTTTTTGGGAAAACTGCTTGTTGAGTTGGTCTACCTGGTTCTTTGACACCTACCCCTACCTTTTCAAAATGCATCTATATACCGAATGTTTATAAGATGTTAAGGGGTTCATGGAACTTATGAAATTTGTTAATAAATTGGGCTGTCATGCAATATTTGGACATACCCATACTTAGAAATTATTGTTTCTCTGAAATTCGAATAACCCTCTCCTCTCCAAGCTTCCCGATTATCCCCTCAGCAGCAAGCCAGTTTCAAGACTTTGATGGAGCTTATTCTGCAAGACCGCACAATTCACAACTCACAAAGGCAGCCTCCAAATTAATAATAACAGCAAAAGGTTAGAGATTTTCAAGATGCAGGTTCTATTATCATTCCTCTTACAGGTGATGAGAAGACAGACTCAGGGATGTGAAGGGTTATTCCAAGGGAAGTGGTAAATGATGGAGCTCAGGTTTAAGCCCCGACAGTCTAACCCCAAAGGCCATTCTCCTAGTTTTTCTGCTGCCAGCACCACCTCACTATCCCAGCTCCCCTCACTCCCTCCAAATATTCTCTTTAGCCTAGTCTGCTGGCCTCCCTAGTTCTACTGTGAAGAATTCCCTCTTCCTCTCCTGCTGGGCCTCCTTGCTTGCCTTGTTAATGCCACCGTCTCCGGCCACATCGCAGCCAGGTAGCAGGAGTCAGAATAGGCCTAACCTGTCACCACCTGCTGTCACTCACTTGCAAGTTGCTCCAGACAGTGCCGATTCCTGCATAGGCTGCTCACCCTCTTTTCTCCACCATTTGTCCACATGCCTAAGTAATATGACCTTGAGCAAGTACAGTGTTTCCCACATTTCATTCATTCCAATTTTGTCGTGATTTTTCTCTTTGTGTACTACCTAAGATATTGTTTACTTATTAGTTACTTGATTCACTTTTTAAATTTCAGCTCTTTTATCTTAAACTTTGTATCTTAGCCTCAATGAAGAACAAGTATTACTGTGAGTAGAAGCTAAGCATAAAAATAAACATAAACGAAAATGCCGATGAATGCCAGCTCTACCTATTTGCATGCCTATAGCTATCAGCACTGAGGTTTATTATCTCTCTCAACCAGAGAGGCTGGCCATCCTTAGAGAGGCATTTAATTCCAGCAACAAACTGAGACTCTATTTGACCTACACGAAAAGGATTAAAAGAATAAACTGCAGAGAGATTCATCATAGATCACCTAAAATTATCTGAAACTAGCAAATAATGCCCATCTTTCTTAGGAAAATAGCAATGGAGGTCAGAATTCAAACCCAGAGAAAGATGATCTACTTCAACCCCTAAACCAGTGCTCCCCATGTCTCTCACCAGGCACATGGGGGGAAACCAGAGGCAACTTCTCTAGAGATGGGAGGCTGCTCTCTGGTACCTGGCTGCAGGACACGAGGAAGGAAGCCCTACACCACACCCCACTTTTTCCCATAGGCATGTTCAGTCTCTAGGCTGATTGGATCTGTTTGCAAACACCCCTTCTCCTGGAAAACCAACTCCCAGGGCTTGGCTTTAACACTCAATATGCCGTTGGTCTTCCTCAGAAACCAACATATTGTAAAAGAGAATGTGCAAACCCATACCCAGACATGCCCTATCTAGGAAAATGGACTATAATGGGCAAAAAACTGCTCTCTACTGAATATTTGGCATGGAAATACTTAGCAAACCATTCAGTAAGTAGCAAACCCTGTTCTATATCTTCTTTATGTATAAACCTAGGTTAATCCTCTGCATGACAAGACTGCCATAGGATCACAATTACAAACACTCCCAAACTATCAACTGTTTCCTTAGCCATCAGGGCACTAACATTAGGTTAGTTATGTAGAAGAATTCTCTTGATCTTCCCATATAACCCTGCAGGATATTTTGGTGTTTTGACCACTCTCTGTATCTTTTGCCTAGCAAAAAATTACTTTCAATTGCAGTTTCTTAAACAATAGTGAAAAACAGACATTGTCTTCACCATGCGCAGGAAAAGCCAACAGTCTAAGAGGTACTGAATGAAACTACAGTTGTCTCACTCTCCAGCTGACAGATCCCCGATGAGGTTGGCAATCCTTTGGTTCCAGGAAACCAACATCTGCCTTCTGCTTAGGTGAATTTGTGCATCACCTCCCCACACACTGACCTGAGTTTGAGAGAAGGGTTTTGCGATGGCTCTTTTAGTCTGAGTTCTAAGTCACGTTAGATGACATTGGATCTGCATTCCTTACCTAATCTTGCATCCTTCCTGGACCATAATTCTTTATTTAGGCACTTAACACTTGGGCTTGCTGCCTCTACACACCCATGTTACATTTCCTACTTAATTTTAAAGCACTTATGTGTGTACTGGTGGTAGAAGACTTTATCATCTCCCTGTCCCCATTCCCACCCCATGTTGGAAGTGAGTGGGGCGTGTTGTTTGTAAAATATGCACGCACCACGCATAACTGAAAGAAAGTCAGAGCAGGGCAGGTTTCCACACTGTTGTGTCAGCAGAGTTCATGTGTAATTCATCAAACTCTCCTCTGCGTGTGCCATTATTTTATAGATAATTGGTTGCCTCTCATTTACTCATAACAGAGCCTTGCAATTTCAAAGCAACTGAGTCAGCCCAAAACAGCATTATTACTAGTTACAGATACACTGTCAAGGCAAAATTTTGACACTGGAGTTTTTGAAAAATCACCGTGATTTCAGTCGCTGGACCACACTAACATTATAATTATGGACAGAAGTGAACAAGAAACAACAGATTGGCTCAGTGAGTGTGTGCTCTGGTCACTGAATTGTACCTTTTAAAATCTACCCTACCAGCCTAGAAAAGTACTCAACCTTCTCAGAGAGGATCTACTCTCATCCCAGCAGCCTGTAATGAAA